TACTAAACGGCACACACATAATACAAACAAGGCAAGTCAAATACCTAGGACTCCACTTAGATTCACGACTCACATGGAAACAGCATATTAAAGCAACAATAGACAAAATACAGATGGCAAAGAGACAAATGTACTGGCTAACAAGTCGAAAATCTAAACTAAGCATAGAAAACAAACTAAAAATATATAAAATGGTCATAAAACCAATCTGGACGTACAGAAAAGCTCTATGGGGAACAGCAGCAATGAGCCATATAACCAAAATATATTCAGAACAGTAGTAAACGCGCCATGGTACGTTAGGAACGAGAACATTCGGAAAGACCTGGGAATACCAACGGTTAAGGAGGAGATTAACAAAAGTGCAAGAAAGTACGGAGAAAGAATAGCAACGCACCCAAACCGGCTGGCAGCGGAAACGGTCGACACATCAAGCATAAAAAGAAGATTAAAAAGGAAACACCCAACAGATCTCACAAAGGACATAACCTAACAAACACGATGATGGTACCCCGCTGGGGGTAGCCACCCACATGTTATATTAGCATACCGCTATAATATTTTACCAAATGTCCTACTGGACAAATTGTAAAATCCAAATAAATAAATAAAAAAAAATTGTTCAGCTAGTCTGAGGGCCCGTCATAAATCTTAGAATTTAGTTCACTAAAGTCCTTCAAACAAACAGTCTTTGTCCCAGCTATGGAAAGATAGGAGAGGCCTATTTTTCAACGAACGACTAGCAACTTTCCCTCGAGGGCGACTAGCATCTTTTTCTAACCACCGATATGGAGATTGACCAATTAGCAGTAACGCCAAATTCCCTCACCTTTTGAACGAAGGGTATCCTCGACGAATCCGATGATCTCGTGTCCTCAGACACACCCCATCATAGTTTTCCTCTGCAGCATCATCGCGGCGGAGAGTCATTCTCTCGTGAGGTCGTATTAGCGAGTTACTTAGAGTCTGTACACTCGGTGGATATTCCACGTTTTCGCAAAGAGTCCGACTTAGATTTTTGTGAGCACTTACATCTATCATCTCGTTGACCGCGGATTCGTTATTGAACCTAAGACCAACATCACTAGTATCGCGAGTGTCCAACCGCCGCGGTTGATTGTCGAGTCGGTAGCATCTATACTCGTATTAACAGACCGTACCTTCGTTATAACACGACGATGGCCGATTCCAATAAAGATTTATGAAACGCCCACAACCTTATTCCTGACCCTTCTCCGACATATTTTTCCGCGAATCGACAAACTTTAGTGCAGATAAAATTATTGTCATGTAACTACTGTGGGGGAAAGGGGCCGCGCTTTCGACAAGCTTGAGAAGTGTTTATCCAGCGGATACTAAACGCATGTAAATGCCGCAATAATTACAAAAGATAAGGTTAGAAAAGAGGTAAGAGTGAGAACTTTGAGTGCACTCGTATGTTACACGCGAAATGATTGGCATAAAATAATAATTGTTCTATTTCGAAAAATAATATAAATTATCAATTCGTTCAGTATTTGTATAATTAACTTGTTTTTATTTCAAGCAAACTATTAAAAAGACTAACCCGAACGCAATACATTGATGGCATTTACATTTAATTGGTTTACAATAGACATTTCTTACAACCTATGCAGTTGTGCACGGGACATTGAGTTAGGTCAATTCTCGTTTATATATATTATAAACAGAAGATAAGAGATAGATTTGTGGTGGATTTGGGCAACCAATGCTGACCCATACGCTGCCTCAGACACACAACTATAGGCTGACTACACTATAGTACTATCGACAGTTATTTGCGAATATCTCAGATACTAAGGCCGATCGCCGGTTATATGGGAAAAAATTATTCAGTATGTTGAATTTTACAATATATTCAAAACCCATTGAAATCGAAGGGGAAGTAGTTTTTCTACAAGTCCACTCATTATCATATGTTTATCTATGATTTAATTCAGTACCTATGTATATTCCTATATACATATGTAAATAATAAATCTCTGAGATAGAATAGAAATACTCGTTGAGTTGCAAGTATTATAAATGTCCGACGTCCAATTCAAAAAAGTTTCACGCATCTCAATAAAAAATCAATAGATAACAACGTACTGCTCCCAATCTACATAGTCCAAGTATCCCCTCATAGCAATATTAGTAACTTACCAAAAATTAGCCGTCTGAATTACTTTAGGGTAAAATGGGGAAAGATTAGAAAGAATTACATGACGCAATGCCACAACTGTTATGTCATACCTCACAAAACTGTAACCTTAATTATCGATGCGTAAAATACATTGAGCCGCATTGACCAGGCAAGTGCAAAATAAAAGAAGAAGACGCGGAAACAAAGACAAATACGCCTCATACGAAAGGCGACCCATACGCCTCCTATCCAACATAAGCAAAGTATTCGAAATAGTCATAAACAACCCCCTAGTCTCCTTCCGCACAAAAAACAACGTAATCTGACACAATCAAATCGGTTTCCGACACAAACATTCCACACTGCACGCAATAAATAAACTAACGTCAGACATCTAGTGGGCTCCCATTGCAAAGCAACGAGTAGCCGCCTACCTTGAAAAAGCATTCGATATAGTAAAAATTTTAGGTCTTATATACAAAATATGTATTTCTTTGGGCAATAAACGTTATAATTAAAATTAAAAATGCACTCGTTTTCGTTTGATCACAAAAGTCAAGTAACGCTACACAGGCACGGATGATACTTAGATGGTTGACCGCTTGGGAACTATGTGTGGTATTGGTTTTTTTACTTTCCAATTTTTTTCTGCTTTCCTTAATAATCTATTTTTAATAATCTATAATATAAGTGTAGTATCGTGGACAAAAAGCCTAAGAGATATCGGGCGAACCATGAACAATGTCGCGAGAGCCGAGGCGCCGTCGGGTCCATCAATGTGTCATCGGACTTTTCAAGTGCATAGTTTCGTAGAAAAGACCTACGTGACCCTAGCTACGAGCGTCTGCAGAACACGTGTG